TCATGGCAACGTGAATGATTTATGGGTTTGCATAGGTTTGTGGTTGATTAATTAATTAAAGGGACTTGCTTTATGTCGCCGAGCTCCCCCAACTGCCATACCACCATTTACACCCATCACAAGAAGCTCCCTCACCGACAACGCTAAGCATGCATTAACCTTGGCAGTGTATTCATGACACAAGTGATCAAATGTGCCTGCTTCTTTTCATGAACTACCCAATTTCTTGACTTCCAGATCCGCCAAAAAAATGCGACCACCCGCATTACACGTTCAGAGGAAGCATCATGTTCCATCCACCAACGGAAGAAAATCCCAAACGTTTTCTTATCCAAACCGATGGTACTCAGCCGGAGACCCGAGTGCTCCCATAACGCCACCACAACCGTACACTCCATAAAAAGATGCTCTAAAGGTTTTTGTTATAAACGCGTTGCTACGGATCGAGAAATCACCGGAATCGATAAAGCAAGAATACAAAAGCGAGAATCGAAAAAAACATAGACACAGGATTTACGTGTTTCACTAAGTCAATGTGTGTTAGCTAGTCCACTAGCGAAAGAAAGGCAGTTTCACTATATCGAGGAGATTACAGATCACAGAGGACTATGAGAAGTATTTATAGTACTTCTCCTAGGTCTAACCCTAATCCAATCTGGTAAAGGATAACGGTTATAGACCAGGCCCAGAACCCGAACCCAAATAACAGCGAGACCCCCGACTACCAGTCGTAGCGGCTGATAGTCCGATTCAAGTCGCATCAACAGTTTCCAATTCAGCCCAACAAATAGGACACCGAGCTAAACATTTGACCCTTTTAACTCTTAAGACCTCCGTTAAAGGTAGCATACGCCGTAGGAGTTGCCACACAAAGAACTTTAATTTAGGAGGTATATGGAAATTCCAAATCATTTTCCAAAATCTAGCATCCTGAATAGACACTTCCTCCTTACACGTCGAACTCGCCCTATATAACCTCATTGCTAGGTGATAACCTGTCTTTACAGAATATAGACCCGTCAAATCCTTGTTCCAAATCCGCCCATCCTGAAATTCCACCAGAAGCAATGGTATAGCCAAGATAGCCTGAACACTCCCCGAGGAGAAGCTGCTCCCCAAACACTCCCCACACTACTTGCGGTTCTCATTAATGAAATTTGTCACTGTCTCCCCACCAACAAGGAATCCACCCAAGGAATAGGGGGATTGGGATGAAGTTTAGGCACTCAGCTCTCGGACAGAGCCGAACTGCTCTCCCCATCCCCCACCTGCCAACGCAACCCTACGACCAATAAAGATCTCTCATGAATCACACTATACAAACCCCATGGGGGACGCGATTGCAACCTAGCATGTAGAAATGATTCTTGAGAAAAATAATTTCCTTTATAAATCCGGGCTAACAGCGAGTCAGGATCCTCCAATGTACGCCAGCCAACCTTGGCAAGGAGAGCCTGGTTAAACTGTTCAAATCGGCGAAAATCTAAACCCCCTCATCCTTAGTCCTACATAACGAGCTCCATGATGCCCATCTACCTCCATTACCCCACCTAAACCTGGCCATGTACTTATCAAGTTTCCTGCATAATGAATGCAGTAATAGGAAGCAAGCCATCACATGCACTGGCAGCACCGAAACGACCGACTTTAACAATGTTTCCTTAGCCGCCCATGAAAGATTAACCTTTTTCCATCCCTTCAATTTTCCAATAGTTTCTCCTCCATAAATCGAAATGTGTCCATCTTAGACTTAGACCGAGCTAAGAGAGTGGGCAAACCTAACTACTTGTCCTAACTCCAATTGCACCAATACCGAGGCGTTCACCCATAGCCAACAATCCGCATTATCTAAATTCATACTAAAACAAACCGTGAATTTATCTAGATTGACACATTGTCCACTAAGCAACTCATATTCCTTCAGGGCCCGAAGTAGATTATCACATTCACCCAAAGTTCCACGTAATAACAAATAAGAACCATCTACAAAAAACAAATGTGACACCTCCGGGCATCGCGGAGCAACCTTAATTCCTTTCAGCCTACCAGCTGCTATTTCCTTCTGAATGATAGTAGAGCAAACCCCTCCGCACAGATCGCAAAGAGCAAATGAGATAAGGGATCCCCCTGTCGTAACCCACGTAACAGTCTAAAATACCCCGATTTACCATTCATCATCACCGAAAAAGAAGTCGTCAAAATACACTCCCGGATCCATTCTATCCACTAGGAAGCAAAACCCAAATTTCCCAAAATAGCCAGTAAGAAAGGCCACTCGACTCTATCATAGGCGTTTTCCATGTCAATCTTCAAAGCCATAAAGCCTTTTATCTAACATACTATTTTATTTAATATTTTTCCTTAATTTAAATTTAAATATTAATTAGTTGTTTTCATGTTAATTTTTATGGTTTTGACGTGAACAACTTGGTTTTTATTAATGAATTAACTACATAGATTTATATGGTGGGCAATCAATCACAAATCAAAATCGGTCCACCACTCTCAACCTTTTCTTTTTGATACTCATGATCATAATAAAGGAAAAAAATTGAACTCAAAGGTGACAATTGTATGTGCAAGTGTAACATGCAAAGCTTTTTTTTATTTTATTAAGATATTGTTCGTTTTGACAAATTATATATATTATATGGCAAAGGCTAGCCTACGCTATACGCATGTGTTCCCACTTGGTTTTTGCACTTCAATATATTTCGATGAGTCAGAACCGTCGGTTATTATTTTTTTCATTAAATGAACCTTGTGGCTTGGGTTATAGAATTAGGGACTAGGGTTCACCCATTAGAGGTTAGAGTATAGTATCATGCGCAAACTAAGGTTAATTCGTGCTCTAAATAGTAAAACTCGACATTAATTCGTGCTCTAAATGTGTGTGTATATATATATATATATATATATATATATATATGTATATATATATGGCAAAGGCTAGCGTACGTCAGTCGTACGCTGTACGCCTGTGTTCACACTAGAAAAATAATTATTAAATAATTTTTATTCAATTAAATAGATTAATTATAATAATGATTAGAATTACAACCACATCAATTAATTAATTGTTGTTTATGTTTTAGTCCCCATCCAACTATAGAAATTTATTTTTCCAACTCGTCTTCTCCGCCTGTCCGGCGTCTAGAAGCAGCGGCGCGCTGGACAGGGGAGTGGCGGAGAGCAGAGCAGAGGCATCCCCGATATAACCCCAATTCTAGTCCGATGCCGGTGACAGAGGGCTGACAATCCACTCCATACTCGACTGTAGAGGCATCTCGATTGAACTCCAATTCGAATCCAACTGCAATCCACCTCCATACTTGGCTCCCAGTTAACTATTAATGAATAAGCTCCGTGAACCCCAATTTTCATGTTCTTTTTTCACTCTGTTTATTAGGAACAGAACTTGGCAATTAGCGGGATCAACACCAAGGCTAGACCAGGATCTCCAATACATTGTCCGAATAGTTATTTCAATTGGGTTTGTTCTTGAATCCTTTGACGCAGTCTCACCAAAATCTCTATGCTCTCCAGTTCGAGGCAGAGGCGAAGGGCTGAGACTATGAGAGGCTGAGGATCTAGTGGGAGTGGAGGGTCGGCAGAGGGGAGGCAGAGGTGAGGGTGAGCTCCGGTTGCCGGAGAGAAAGAGGAAAGCGCGCCGAGTGCTTGACAGAGTAGGGGTTTAGTTAGTTTAGGATTGAAATTTATAATTATTGTGGGACTAAAATGTAAACAATTTTTTTTATAATGGATGCGGTTGTAGTTTTCATGGTTAATTATAATTAGTTAACTTATAATTAAAATTAGTTTATCAGGTGTGAACGCAAGCGTACAACGTACGACTGACGTACGCTAGCCTGAACCATATATATCTATATATATATGGTGACTTCTATGGTACCACGGGTGAAATCCTGGGTACCGCATACCTTGAGTATGAAAACGCTCTCTAGACCTCGAATTAGCAGGATTTTTCGGCCAGATACTATACTCTAACCCTTAATAAGTGAACCCTAGGTCCTGATTATCTAAATCTTAAACTATAAACCCTAAGATGGTGCATTCATTTTTTGCCTACCGTCGATTTTTGTTTCTAATTAAATTGATATTGGGGTATATGATTTAGAGAATTAAGACCTAGATTTTGATCTTTAAGGGTTATAGTATAGTATCATGTCCGAAAGATCAGTCAAGTCAAGGCCTGGATAGCATTTTCATACTCAAGGAATGCGATACCCCGGATTTCACCCTGGGTACCAAAGAACTCGCCATATATATATGATGACTTCTATCGTACACCAGACATATATTGGTGTATGTCGTACACCAGCAATCTCCAACGTCCACGTCCATCTCAATGGTCAGGATTAATGCGGGTTCTTTTTTTGTGGGATTAAAAAATAAATTACCTCATTTATTCTGGCCGTTGAGATGGACGCGCACAGTGGAGATTGCCTGGTGTACGACATACACAAGGTTTTGCCTGGTGTACTACAGAACCATCCATATATGGTCATCTAACTACATCTAACGGCTAGATCACCTGACGTATACTATACGTCTGGCATACACCAGTCATCACCATATATATATATATATATATATGGGTGGTTCTATATGAAGGTGACTTCTTTGTATTGCTTCACAATAAGCACGTTTAACTTTAGAGTTTTCACAACAAGAATTCTTCTGTTTCACGCCGAAAAGTTTATTGTTAATTATGGTCGATTTCTTATTTATGAGCAATGTATCTCTTGTAATTTCTCGATATTGGATTTCACTACAATGTTACCATATTCAAATAATATATGTATTTTGCACATTTTTCATACAAAAAATCTATTGATGAAAGATGCCGTTATTATTAATAAGTAACGTTTGTAAATACAAATAAATAATTAGATATATGGACGTAGGACAATGTTGGATGGACAGTGGGTCTGGGGATACTGGCGGGTGGCCTGGCGGTGGCGCTGGTGTTGTTCTTGATGGGGATGAAGACATACCGGAAACAGGCCCCCGTCGGAAGCCCGTACACTCGGCTGGCACAGGTGTTGGTGGCCGCCGCGAGGAAGTGGCGCGTGGACGCAACACAAGCCGAGTGCAACATGTGTTACAGCGAGGAGGTGGAGGAGGAGGGGCCAGATGTAGAGAATAATGAGAACAAGCGTAGGAAGGCGAGATTGGGTCGGACGACTCGGTTCAGGTATGACTATCTCTTTTAAGTCTTATGTTATGATAATGACTACAATAATTAGGGCCGGAAGTTTGATATCGGTATTTAGGATATACCGAATATCGTACCGAATTTGTCTCTATTTGGTATTATCGAATCACGTATTATTTTGTGGGATTGGGATTGGGATTGAATTTCAATTGTTATTCGGTATTAGGGATTACGGAATTGGGATCGGGATATACCAAAATACCGATCAATACCCAATATAAGCTAGTGCGTAATTTATCCTCTGAACTAGACTCTCCCATTCACTACTAGGCGACCACCAACTACCAACAGTATCATTTAATTATACATAGATCATTCCATCACTATTTCACACTAGTATTAGTCGTCTCTCAACCTCAAATTTATCAAATTAAAGATTACTAATTACAAGAACTTGAGATATTAGCTCTAGGCAACTCAAGACTCTTTGCTTAGTCACTTTGCCCTAAATTAAACAATAAAATATAATTTATATATTTAATTATTAATTACAAAGGTAATTAATTTTGTATTTGATAATACCGATTGGGATACCGAAATATTTAGGGGTTGGGATTGGGATACCGAAATTATTTAGGGATTGAGATTGGAATTGATTTTAGGGTGTAATTCGATATTCGGGATTTCAATATTTGGTATTGGGATACCGATACCGTACCGATTTCCAGCCCACCAACCAATTTAATTTCCACTGAGTTATATATATCCAATAATAATAAAATTGACCTCACCCACCGTCACTCACTCTGCTTGCGACCAAGTGCATCCCATTATATAAAAATACATGTCAGCTCTCGTCTTAAATGGCTGTGTTGAAATTGAGCAGAAAAAGGTTAGGCCAATATCAATTACTCATATACTAGTTAGGTGTTGCGCCGCGCTCTGCAGCGGCATTCCACAGGCTTTAGAGACCCGATTAGCTGGACCGTGTTTATGTTGTAGTGTAATTGTATTCAAATTTCTATGACGATCAACATTCCCAAGTTTGACAATGAAGATAGAGATACATGGCTAGTCCAAGTCCACTTTTCTCTTTTAGCACGGATGGATGCACTTCTAGGCTTATCAATTTTCACGAACGGTCTTGGTAGGTCCTCTAGGACTACATCAATCCCTGAATCCATGATCTCAACTAAAGACACAAACGAAACTATTACTACGAAATTTGATTGTGATTGTGGGTTGCATTTTATGCTGATTCCAAAATGTCTAGTAGGGATAAATAATTATATATGAAGTTGAAACCTAATAATAATTATCCCCTTCCTTTCAACCCGGATCCCTTTCAATTATCTCCAACTATTGTTGAGGTTAGTATACACCCGGGTGTACGCTAACCGTACAGTACGCCCGTCAAGTTTTGCTATGTAGATAATGAATTAAATGGAGTTTGGGGTATGATACAATATCCTAATCTCTAATAACTGAACCCTAGTCCCTAATGTTCTAACCCACATCATGAGATTCGTCTAATCTTAAAATGAAAATAAATCGTTTTGATTTCTCGAAATTATCAAAATATAAATAATAGGCGTGAACGCAGGTTAGATGTACACTATCTTGTGCCCTCCAATGATATATATTATAATAATAATAATTATCAACTTAAAAATCCTAAAATATCCCCAATAAACTACTTCCACATGACCATAACATAATATAATTATCCTCATCATCAATGTCATCATCGTCCCCATCCAATGTCAATTCCTGCGGGTGAGCTAAAGAGAATGACAGTAGTGCATGATAACAAAACCCCTATGCAACAGTAATCACAGTATAACTTTAATTAGAATTAGATAGTTAATAGTACTACATGTATACATTCTCCTCCCTTGGGTCCGGAAAAGACGGATAGATTCTGTTGTACAACTATGTTGTGACGCATGAATACTGTTTGACAAATGTTGGTAGAGTAGCGTGACGAATTAGAATTAGAATTAGAATTAGAATTAGAATTAGAATTAGAATATATATAAAAGAAAGTGTAATTTGGTAGGTTAGTGCAAAATGTTGTAGCAAAATTGGGTTGATGGGTTCCTAAAAAAAAAAAAAAAAGATTGGGTTGATGGGCCCTGTAAATGAGAATTTCGTCAAAGTCTATGCACCAAGCCTTACTTGGTAGTGGGAAGAAAACTCAATGATTTCTTTTTATATTGTGAACTGACCAAGTATGATACCGGTAAGTTGTAACATCCCGAATCTTTTCCCGACAAGATACTGAGTGACTTTTCATAAGGTCACCCATCCTTGTTGAGATCTGTACTGAGCACGTTTAATTTCAGGGTTCTCACAAGAACTCCTCCATTACACCCCAAAACGCGTCTTATCAGTTAAGGTTGGTTTCTTACTTATGAACCATGGATCTCTCTCGTGGTTTGTCGATGTGGGATTTGCCTAAGGTGTTACATATGTAAAGTTAGTTTTTTTATTATTATTAAATGTTAGATAAATTTGCGATTTTAGCAATCATGAGTGGCTGATGAAATTGAGCGACGAAACTAATTACCTTGTGTGAAAAATATTATTTTGTTAATCAATAAATTTTGTCGACAAAATAATTTATTTACGTGACATTTATTTGTTGTGCTTTGTCACACAATGTATACATTAAAAAACTTCACTGTTGATAATGTTACAATATAATCGAACAGGTTCTTGGACAGAGCTGCTATAATTGATGCTCCGTGCACGGCCACATCACCCCAGGGTCATAACCCATGGCGCTTGTGCACTGTGAACCAAGTGGAAGAAGTGAAGTTGGTCCTCCGCCTCATCCCAATCTGGCTATCCTGCATAATGTTCACTGTTGTCCTCTCCCAAAACCACACCTTGTACGTCAAGCAAGCAAGCACCATGCAGCGCTCCTTCATCAGCCACAACTTCATCGTCCCACCGGCTTCCCTCCAGAGCCTCATTGGCCTCACCATCATAATCACCGTCCCCTTTTACGATCGCATCTTCGTCCCTTTCGTTCGACGCCACATCACCGGCCACCCGTCCGGGATTACCCTGCTCCAGCGCATCGGTACTGGGCTTGCCCTCTCCATCCTCGAGGCTGCAGTCGCCGCCCTCGTCGAGTCTAGGCGCCTGCGTGTGGCAAAGCATTACGGCTTGCTGGACGGACCCAAGGGTGCCGTGGTGCCCATGCAGGTGTGGTGGTTGGTCCCGCAGTATGCCATCAGCGGCATGTCCGATGCCTTCACCATCGTTGGGCTACAAGAGTTGTTCTACGACCAGATGCCAGAGTCAATGCGGAGCATGGGCGCCGCGGCCTACATTAGCATTGTGGGGATCGGGAGCTTCGTGAACACAGGGGTGATAACGGTGGTGCAGGGGGTGAGCTCAAGGGCTGGTGGGGGGAAGTGGCTAGGTGATAATTTGAACAGGGCGAATTTGGATAAGTTTTACTGGATATTGGCAGGGATGAGCGCGGTCAACTTTTGTGTCTATCTTTTGATAGCTAGGGGATTTGTTTATAGGACAGTTGAAGAACACGACGTACGTCGACTTGAGAGGCGGGGAGGAGGAGCAGGAGGAAGGAGTTAAAGTTTCATTGGAGGGAAGTTGGTGGATTAGCTAGTCCTCCGATGAGAGTAGTTGACATTATGAGAGGACAGGAGGCTTCATCTACACAAACATATAAGGCAATGTCAATAAACAAGTATTGCCACATCAGCCGGTGGTGTTTAAACCGCATAAGTCGGAGGGACTAATTAGTCTTCTCCTCTCCCTGCCTTCTCGCTAAAAGCCTAAAACCGTCCGCAGCGGTTACTTTTTTTCTTTTTTTCTTAACATGATAACATCTTACAATCCCACCAACTAATTTTCTCCATTTCTACAAGGGCACGACCACTATTCCATATCTTATACTAAAAACAAATCACTAATTTTGTGGAATTTCAATCTTTCTTTTGAAGCCACCTGGACACTAAATTTATTATTTCCCTTTTGTTGTAGGTTTCCTCCTTTTAATTTATTTTGCTCTTATGATCACTAATATTTTCATAATATGAAAGTGGTATGATCACTAATATTTTTGCTCAAAATGTAGCAAAATGAATATCATTGTGTCTATCATAATTAATGCATTCTTTATATGTAAATTTTTTTAAAAAAAATTCGAGTTAAAACAAAAGAGATATGACTCAATTATAAAAAATGGAAGATTAGAAAATTTTGCATTTGATTGGTAAAAAATCTCTCCCATGTTTTCTAAATTCGCGTTAGTCAAAGAAAAGAAAGTTGACAGTGGGGCACGGAACTAACAGTCCATCCATCTTATTTTTATATGAGTTGTGGGCCGTTATATGGGATTTTAATAGATGGTTACATATTAAAGTTCTATAGGTATTGTAGAATGGAGTTTCATATCATATTCTTATCCTTTCCAATAACAATTGATTTTCCAACAAATTTATAGAAATTGGGTTTTCGATAGAGCAATAAAAATTTGGATTTTAATAATAACATTAAGTTCTTTTACATAAAAAAATGATAAGAAGTAATTCGTTAAAGAAAGAAAGAGAGGGAGACAAAAATAAACTATTGATTAAGGGGCGTATATTATGGGCACACAAATAATTAATTCATCAATGGATTTGGAAGTCGAAACTAATTATTTTTATTTAATTATAGAAACTAATTAACATGAATATCCTTTTAACTTTAGCCTATATGAAATTGTTTATTTCCTCATTAACTTCATCTATTAAGTAAAATCATATTATTTTTATCTTCAAATTCCCACTTAGTTTAATACAAGGTATCTTATAATTTTAAAATGGAGCTTAAAATTTTTATTAATTTAATATGTAGTTTTGTCTCTAGATATTTTCACTAAATTTTCCAATTATAACAATTTTCTAAAAATTTAATATTTTAACAAAAACTAAGAGATTTAGACACTCATCCACGGTTTAGAATTTTTATAAAATAAAATATTAATTCACAAAAAAACTACCCAGCCAATCGGCCGGGCCACAATCTAGTAACTAATAGTTATGAGTAAAAGCCCGCTCGCTATCGCTTCGCGTATCATAAAAAATAAATTTAAAGAGTAATAGTTTTAAAGTTACATAGTCGTACTCTTTTGATTTTTTTTTAGGTTTGAGGTAATCGTGGTTCTCGTTTATGAATTTTTTGGGCTAATTGCAGGTTTGAGGATATTCAACTTGCATTGGTCGGGTCAAATTAGGTTTGATGCCCATGGATTTGGGTTCAATTGTCTTTCTCAAACAAAAGGAAAAGGCGAAATGAAAAACATCAAAGGTAAAACTCGCTACCGACTCAAAAGTCTTAAACACCAGGCACAACTCGCTTTGACATGGTGGAACCGAGTTTCGAGCAAATTCACACCTAATACAACCCGCCAATTACAAAAATAGATAAAACTCGCTCCCGCCGATAACTTGTAACCACCAGGTTCAAGTCGCTTTGGTCGGGTCGAATTAAGTTGGATACTCATGCATTTGGACTCAATTGCCATTCTCAACCAAAATGAAAAAGATAAGAAAATATACTAAAGTGGATAAAACTCACCCACGACGCTAAACTCTCAACACTGCGTTCAACTCACTTTGATTGGGTCGACCCAGTTTTAACAAATTCACAATTTATCCAGCATGTCAATTACAAAAATGCATAAAACTCGCTCTAGATACGAAGCTCGTCAACAATGGATCAGAGTTCAATTGTTATTCTCATAGAAACGAAAAATGAGAAATAAAAAAATATCAAAGCATACAAACCTCGCTTTCGATCTAAAACTGGTCAACAACATGTTCAACTCGCTTTGACCAATTTTTTAACAAATTAACACTTGGTTCTACCTGCCAACTACAAAAGCGGATAAAACTCTCTCGCAATACAACAATCGTTAATACCTTAGATTCGGATTTAATTGTCTTCCCAACCAAAAGAAAAAAGAGAAATTCATAAATACTAAAGTCAGTTTCAAGTCGCTTTGATAAATCGAAAAACTTTTATATATTAATTAATACTTGGATTCAATTATGATGATGGTCAACAAAAGGAAAAGAAGATAAAAAACACTAAAGAGGGTGAAGCTCGGTCTTGATACAAAACTCGTGGTAGCGCCATTGGCTTCAAGTTAGGATACCCTTCTGTTTGGGTTTAATAGATGTAAATATAGAAAACAATACCTAAACACAAAGTTTATAAAATGGAGAGTGGGGTAAAAGAAACAACTTGGAACTTCCCCACTTGCAATTGGAGGAGTGTGAGAGCCAATAATGAATAGTAACTCACAACCTAGGCTTTAATATATTAATTAAGTGATGATGGTCAACATAAAGGAAAAATAGATAAAAAACACTAAAGATAATGAAGCTCGGTCCCAATACAAAACTCGTTTAGTTATTGTTCGCTAGGTTTTCGTCTATGATTTTTTGCATAAATTATCGCCTTTATATATTAATTAATACTTGGGTTCTATTGTGATGATGGTCGACAAAAAGGAAAAGAAGATAAAAAAAATACTAAAGAGGATGAAGCTTGATCCTGATCAGTGTTCAAGAAGATGCGATTAATCTCTCGCCTAGGCGCGATTAATAGCTAGGCAGGAGGAAATTGCCTCGTCCAGCCTGAGCGATTGATCTAGGCGTTCTAAACGATTAATCTCCATAGAAAACACCTAATCGGTGCCTAGGCGCTCGGAGGCGTGTTTTCAGTCTAGAGCTTCCGCCCAGAAGGTAATGGGTTACCCCTACAGCACGTCCTTGTATAATACTCAAGGCTCTAGGCTGAGTAGCAGGAGCAACTTTTAATTTATTATGAAAGCCCTGCACCCATTCACAATCACGTAAAGAGTGGTGGCGAACACGCTGCCTCATCAAAACCACAGAAAGGGCATAACTGACGCCCAAAACAGCTAATAAAGGGGGAAAGTGTAGCCTTTTTGTGGAAATCCCAAACCCTATTCTATTTCCCATTTACATTCGACCAGTCGCTCCCCCTCATCATTCGAGCAGCGGGATCCCTCCTCATGGTTGGGGACTTGGGATGTTTGGGATTGTGGAAAAGGGTTGTATGTCTATATGAATGGATGAATAATGATATCGTGACTTGGGTTTTGTGAAATGTGGCTTATCTATCATATTTTTTTCAATGTTTAATCTCGCCTAGGCACGACTAATCGGCCTGGGCGCTCGGCGGTGCCTCCTTGCCTAGATAGCGCCTAGCGTCTTCTTGAACACTGATCCTGATACAAAACTCGTGGTAGCGGCCTTGGGTTCAAGTTAGGATACCCTTGTGTTTGGGTTCAATAGATGTAAACCTAGTGACACGCTAAAACACAACACCTAACAATGGCCAAGTGTAACCAATGAAAGGGACTGCAGTATAGTGGCACAAGTAATAAATATCGAATCCACGGGTCTCTAGAGTTACTATTACTCAGCTTCAGTTCATTATCTAGCAAACTAGATTAAGGATTGATTTATAAACTACTCTACTCACTACTCTACTAATAACAAGTTGGGAACTCACTTAGGTATGATTCCCCCTAGCTCCTCAATTAGGTCCAAGTTGCAATTACCTTTGGTTGATCTACTGTTGATTAAACTGCGGAAGATCCTAAATTAGCTTGGAATCTCTTAAGCTGACCAAGCCCTCTCAGACAGAATACCCGGGCGACTAGCCTTCACCGGGATAGACTGCAAGGCGATTCACACAGATCACCACTACTGGAATGAATTCCAGTACAAAGCAGTGAATTGATTGACTCTCGCACAACCAATTCACCACTATCAATCAAGGAAGCTCTCTTAACCTAATCAATTTCTATCTATCATAGGTTAAAGCAGAAATCGAGAGAATTTGATCAAGATTCAATTGACTCAATAAATCATGCCTCAATCGATTATAATCAAACAATATAGCATCCAAAACTTCATACAAGAAAGATCCTAATACATGGAACTAGGGTTCCTCAAAACCTAAGTGAAGGGAAGTTACTCCATAGAGAAGAGAGAGACTGCAGAAATCTGATCTAGATCTTCAATCTCCATCTCCAAGCTTGATTCCCGAGCTCCAATGGCGAAGAAATCCTCCAAAATAGCTCCAAGAATGTTCTCAAGTCGCTCTCTCTCTCTAGGGTTCGTCCCTTAGGTGTTTGGGAACCAAAAACCCAGCTCTCCCCTTTCCTTTTGCTGAAAATCGGGTTTTAAACAGAAATTCCCGATCACGCGGCCAGGCCACACGGCCGTGTGGCTTTCCCAGCTGCCCGTGTGAAGGCTCGGTGATTTCCACACGGCCACGATCCACACGGCCGTGTGGAGTTCCAGGATGCCCGTGTGGCTTACCCAGCCTCTGTTTAATGCTTCATTTCTCCCTCGTTCGGACTCCGAATCAGTCGCCGTTTGATCCCAGACGCTTGTAGTCTCGTCCTCTTTCTTTTCATGACAAAATTCCATGATTATTTGTCCATAATATGAGGTATAAGTCCATTATTCCTCAGGTCATGCTCGTGTTTCTTCTCCCGAATTGCCAAATGATCTCCGATTGACTTGAAACTTGCGCCTATGCTT